CCTTGTGTGCGGCCCCGGGGAATGAATGCATCGTGCCTGGTCTGGTATCTGACCTAGAGAGAAGACTCAATAAATGGTGGTTATGGTTATTACTCGGCAACTTAGCTACCTCTTGGTGCCTGCGTTTTCTCACCGGAGCTATTGTAGGATTAAATGAGCTCATATGTGGAAGGTCCTTATAATGCCGCCCAGTGCGTGATAAGAACTTACAGCCTAGAACGCTATTGGGAACAAAGTAGGAACCCAATAAATACTTGTCCAGTGAAAGAATGTTAGCTATTATTATTTTTGCCGAGGTTGATTTGAATCTAGGATTTAAGTCTATCAGAACAGGCCTGGAGGACTGGAGGTGGAAGGTTCTTGAGGGTCTGTTTGCACAAGCCATAGAGGGCTCCCTGGGAAAAAGTCATGCTAAGGAAAGAGAGTTGAAGAAGATAAAAGAGGTTTGATGACAGGGCAGGGGGAAAAGGATGATTTAGGGAGGGGATCCTTGGTGCCCACATCTGAGTCCCAGGAGTACTGCAAAAAGGAGGGGACAGTTTTGTGAAGATGCCAGGAGCATCAGCACGGTTTATCAATGGTGGCTTGTTGACAATTTGGCGGCATACTTCCTATGGACACTGAGGATTGGTTTTTTAAAAAAGCAGTTGGGGAGCACCTGGGTGGCTTGATTGAGTGTCTGATTTCGGCTCAGGTCATGATCTCATGCTTTTTGGGCTCGAGCCCCACACTGGGCTTGCTGCTGTCAGTGCCGAGTCCGCTTCAGATTCTCTCTGCCTCTCTCTCCGCCCCTCCCCTGCTCCTTCTCTCTCAAAAATAAATAAACATTTTTTTTTTACATTCATACACTGCATAGTTTTATTAAATTACATAACATGCCTCAGATGCAGACTGTTTTCACTTTGCAGAATAATCCTATTAATCTCTATGTTCTTCTTGAGATTTCACTGCAAAATATCCATAATATAAATTTTCAGAATTCCCTTTGTACTTGTCAGCACCAGTTGCAAAAATTGTTATTTATGTTTTTTAATGTTTATTTATTTAATTTTATTTTGTTAATTTACATCCAAATTAGTTAGCACATAGTGCAACAATGATTTCAGGAGTAGATTCCCTAATGCCCCCTATCCATTTAACCCATCCCCCCTCCCACAACCCCTCCAGTAACCCTGTTTGTTCTCCATATTTAAGAGAAATATGTTTTGTCTCCCTCCCTGTTTTTATATTGTTTTTGCTTCTCTTCCCTTATGTTCATCTGTTCTGTGTCTTAAAGTCCTCATATGAGTGAAGTCATAGGATTTTTGTCTTTCTCTGACTAATTTCACTTAGCATAATACCCTCCAGTTCCATCCACGTTGTTGCAAATGGCAAGATTTCATTCATTTTGATTGTCGAGTAATACTCCATTGTGTGTGTGTGTGTATGTATATATATATATATATATATACATATATATATATATATATATACATATATATATATATATATATTACCACATCTTCTTTATCCATTCATCCATCGATGGACATTTGGGCTCTTTCCATACTTTGGCTATCGTCGATAGTGCTGCTATAAACATGGGGGTGCATGTGTCCCTTCGAAACAGCACACCTGTATCCCTTGGATAAATGCCTAGTAGTGCAATTGCTGGGTTGTAGGGTAGTTCTAGTTTTACTTTTTTGAGGCACCTCCATACTGTTTTCCAGAGTGGCTGCACCAGCTTGCATTCCCACCAGCAATACAAAAGAGATCCTCTTTCTCTGCATCCTCGCCAACATCTGTTGTTGCCTGAGTTGTTAACGTGAGCCATTCTGACAGGTGTGAGGTGGTATCTCACTGTGGTTTTGATTTGTATTCCCCTGGTGATGAATGATGTTGGGCATTTTTTCATGTGTCAGTTGGCCATCTGGATGTCTTCTTTGGAGAAGTGTCTATTCATGTCTTTTGCCCATTTCTTCAGTTGGTTATTTGTTTTTTGGGTGTTGAGTTTGATAAGTTCTTTATAGATTTTGGATACTAACCCTTTATCTGATATGTCATTTGCAAATATCTTCTCCCATTCTTCCGGTTGCCTTTTAGTGTTGTTGATGGTTTCCTTCGCTGTGCAGAAGCTTTTTATTTTGATGAGGTCCCAATAGTTCATTTTTGCTTTTGTTTCCCTTGAAAAATAAATAAATGTTAAACATTTTTTTAAAATAAAAACTCAGCATTTTTTTTTTAATTTTTTTTTCAACGTTTATTTATTTTTGGGACAGAGAGAGACAGAGCATGAACGGGGGAGGGGCAGAGAGAGAGGGAGACACAGAATCGGAAACAGGCTCCAGGCTCTGAGCCATCAGCCCAGAGCCTGACGCGGGGCTCGAACTCACGGACTGCGAGATCGTGACCTGGCTGAAGTCGGACGCTCAACCGACTGCGCCACCCAGGCGCCCCAAAAACTCAGCATTTTTAATGCAGGTGGTTTCATTCTGGGAAGCGTAGCTCCAAAAGTAGAGCACCTGTGAGACACCTTCAGGGCATCCCTAGGAATGTCTGCAGGAATGCTGGGGACAGAGCCAGAGAAAGCCAATTACTGTTATATGGGGCTGTATTTCTATCAATAGACTGATGGGGGCTTGGAGGACCTGGGCCAACACAGCTTGGAATGGTAGCCATGGCAGAGCTGCCTTTGTGGGGAGTGGGCTTGCTGTCTGTGGAGATGCGCAAGCAGGGGCTCAAATACCACTCTAGGGGATAGCATAATGGGGGTCCACCATAGGATGAGAGCTTGAGGTAGATGGACCTCAAGGTTGCTGCTCTGAAGCAGAAATAGTGAAAAAGAAGGGCACCTGGCTGGCTCAGTTGGTAGAGCCTGTGACTCTTGATCTCAGGGTTGTGAGTTCAAGCCCTATGTTGGGCATGGAACCTGCAAGGAAGGAAGGAAGGAAGGAAGGAAGGAAGGAAGGAAGAAAGAAAGAAAGAAAGAAAGAAAGAAAGAAAGAAAGAAAGAGGGAGGGAGGAAGGAAGGAGGAAGAAAAGGAAAAAGAAAAGGAAAGAAAAGAAAGAAATAGTGAACGAAGCACAGGGCATCTCTGAGACCACCTATTCCTGGTTCTGCCACCATGATGCCTTGGGAGGAGAAGCTCATGGCAAATGGAGTCTGCCATGAATTATTCCTGGCTAGTCTGCACTTCCTCCTGAGGGGCAGAATAGCTTTGACCTAACCCTGCCTTCCACCCAGTGGCCTGGCTGTGCCTGATGAGACAGTGAACTGCAGTGGAGGGAACCTAGCAGAGTCAGGAGTCAGCCATATCTGGGTTCAAATCCCACCTCCACCACGTCCTCAGCCAATCATCTTACTTCTCTGAACCTCGATTTCTTCAGCTATAAAATGAAGAGAAAAATATTTACTTCTCAGAGTTGTTGCAAGATGATGTGTTCACCATGCCTAGCACATAGCATAGGAGCTTCAAGAACATCCATTCTCTCTGGCTTGCTTCAGCCCAGGGGCCAGGCTTTGCCCTTTGGGGAGAGATGAGATCATTCTTGAAAAGAATGTTGAATGTCAAATGGGTCAAATGGGATCTTGGGCAACTCCCTTAACTTCCCTGGTTCCAGTCTATTCCCTTTTATTATTATTTTTTACAGATTTTATTTTTAAGTAATCTTTACACCCAGTGTGGAACTTGAACTCACAAAGCCTGAGATTAAGAGTCATATGCTCTACTGACTTAGCCAGCCAGGCACCCCCGGTCTATGAGGAAAGTGGGAAAGGGATTCTCGAATTCCAGCTGGCATGTTCTGCAGACTTTCCTAGATGTGGGAGAGCATTGCAAACCACGAATGCTGAGAGTCACATGTCAGCTTAGCTGTCCAAACCAGTTGAGTCTTTCCACCCCTGAGCCCCACCTGGATTTCTAGTATGGTGGGAGGCAGTGGCCTTTGGCATCTCCCCAAACGCAGAATCCTTCCTCCACTATTTGCTTACTTTGTGACCTTGAAAAGTCTCTGAGCCACAGTTTTCTCACCTCAGAAGGACAATGACAGCTGCTTTGCAGGGTTGCTGGGAGAGATGAATAGCGAGTGCTACGTAAATGTTTACTAATTCACTAGAAATATAGGTAGATTAAAACAGACATATGTCAATAGATAGACGCATCATAGATACAGAGAGAGCAGCTAGGTCAAGCCCTTCCCTTCCTATACCTCCCACTCTTCTGAAAACTTCTTGGCCAACGTCTGCCCCTCCCAGTTCTGGCCCCCACTTCCTCTGGCCACACCCATGAATTCAAGGTTTGGGGGCTATGAAAAATGGTTCTTCTTCACAAAGAGGTTGAAGATATTGAAAGAGAAGGTCCCAGCTCAAACCATCCATCCAGCTGTCATCACTGGAGACCCTTCCTTTGTGGAAGCATCTTTTAAGACATTTACGTGCAAAAACTCCTATTTCTGTTCTTCCAACGGCCCGGAAGGGGTGGTAGGAATAGATATTAGTCACTCGATTTCACCAAGGGGAACTGGAAAGATGTGGAAAGTGCTGGGGTTTCCCCATCCAAGCCCCGGTCAGCCTGGAGCCACAAGGCCACATCATAATAATCACCGCCACTTAACGGATAGGGCCTAAGTGCCAAGGACTCGCACAGGTTATCCAGTGTCAGTGATCCCTTCCCAGCCAGCCAGAGAGCTCTTTAAGTTCACGGACAGGCTCCCATGTCCTGACTTCTCCCCATACTCCCTGCAGTGTACTGCCTCAGGATCCCCACTTGGAAACCCAAGAGGCATCCCCAACTACCATGCCCAACGCCGAACTTCTGAATCTCCCCAAACCTTCTCCTCGCATGCTTTTTCTCATGGCAGAAGTGGCAACCCCATCCTTCCAGTAACTCAGTCCAAAACTCTGATATTATCATTCCTCTTCCCCTTGCCTCATTTGCTGTATCGAAAACACCAGATCTACTTTCAAGCAGATCTGGGGTCTGCCTACTTCTCACCACCTCTGCCGTTGCCCCCTGGCCTGTGCCCCATTCTCTCCTGCCTGGGTCACTGTGATTGCCTCCCGACCGGTGGCCTGGCTCCTGCCCCGTGAAGTCTGTCTCCCCACCCGGCAACCAGAGTGATCCTAGGAGAAGCAGGTAAGGTCATATCACTCCTCTGCTCAGAACCCCGCAATGGCTCCCACTGACTCAGAGTAAAAGCCAGTCTGCACAGTGGCCTGCAAGGCCCTGGCATCATCTGGCCCCCAGATCCCCCACCTTCGTGCCCTCACCGACCTCACCTGTCCCCTCTCCCCCTCACCCTCCTGCTCCCGCCACACTGGCCTCCGCCACACGTCAGACCCATGCCACCTTAGTGCCTCCGCTGTTCCCTTCATCTAGTACACTTCCTCAGAAACGGCCAGGGCTCCCTTCCTCACTTCCTCTGGTTTTATCTCAAACGTCGCCTTGTCGGTGGGGTCTTGCCTCACCCCCCTACACACCCCATCTGTCTTCCCCCATTTCTTTTCTCCCGCAGGACTTCCCATTTCCCCATCGATTCCCTAGCTTAGTTGTTTATCTGTTCACCACCTCTTTCCCCCTTTGGAACATGAACCGAGTGAGGCCTGGGATCGTTGTCTGTTTTGTCCACTGCTGTGTCCACAGAGCCTAGAGCAGTGGCTGGCAGGTGCTCAGAAAGTACCTGAATAAAGAGCAGATCCTCAAGGACAATTTTTGAAAGAATAAATAAATGGAGGGTGGGAGCACCTGGGGGGTTCAGCCGGGCAAGCGTCCAACTCTCGATTTTAGCTCAGGTCATGATCACATGGTTCATGGGATTGAGCCCTGAGTGGGGCTCAGCGCTGACAGCACGGAGTCTGCTTGGATTCTCTCTCTCTCCCTCTCTCTCTGCCCCTCCTCTGCTTGTACTCTCTCTCTCTCAAGATAAATAAATAAAATGTTATACATAAATAAATAAATGGAGGGTGAATAACAACTAATATACTACCCGCTAGCTATGTGGCCTGAAAGGGGTCACCTCCCCTCTCTGAATCTAGGACCAGACACGGGCTCATCCTCAAGGGTATGGTTGTCATAGACCATTCTCCAGTGGCTTGGAGTTCTAGCTTCAGTGGCTCTGTTGCTTGCCATGGTGAGGCCTTGGGCAAGTCACTTAACTTCTCTAAAACACAGCATCCCTCTGAAAGAGGGTTAATCCTTACCTATTTATTAGGTAATAAATATCCTAAGGTACCATTATGCGGCTGCCATGAGCTTAGGGACCAGCCCATTACTTGGCACATAGTAGGACTTCCCAGAGAAGAAGGCGCCTCGTCCTGCAGACTCCAAAAGTCTTCCTGCCCTGGTCACAGGACATCTGTGCATCCAAGGCCCTTGGCCGTGGGATTTTCCAGAACCTGGATCCAGACCTGTTAGGGTTGCCAGTATTTTTCCACAGTGAAAAACCGACCTCTCCGAGTTCTGCCCCTGACAGACATGGAAAGCTGCGAAGGGCTCCCAGGGTAGCCCTGTGCACTGAGAGATGCTGTCAGGAAAGGAAGAAACTCGGAGGACACTTCACCTTGTGTGACCACAGATGTTCAGCAATGCCCTCATCACTCACCCTTGATTACACCCTCGATTACAGAAATCACTCGTTGTAACCGGAAATGCCTTGGAGATAAGTTTGTCCAGAGGCTGCAAACAGGCAGCCGAGTGCTGGATGGGACTTAGCGACCAGATTGTTCTGTGGGGCCTGCACCACATGTCGAAAACAACAAAATCCCGGAGCGCCTGGGTGGCTCAGTCAGTTGAGCATCTGACTTCGGCTCAGGTCGTGATCTCGAGGTACGTGAGTTCAAGCCCTGCGTCAGGAAATGTGCTGACAGCTCAGAGCCTGGAGCCTGCTTCGGATTCTGTGTCTCCCTCTCTCTCTGCCCCTCCCCCAGTTGCATTTGTCTCTCTCTCTCGTAAAAACAAATAAACATCAAAGGCAAAAAAAGAAAAGAACAAAATCTGAACAGCTGTGAGCGGTTGAGGAGAGTCAAGGTCCACAGACCCCACCACTCCGTACTGCCTCACACCTAGCCGGATTTGCACATTTGCTCTGCTGGCCTGGACCCCCGAGGAGAAGGCCATCGGTGCACTTCACAGGTGAGACTCCACAACTCCGAAAATCATCTCAGCCTCTTGCTACTGGGATCGTTTTGGATTCCTCTCTAGCCAGCAGTCAAGAGCACAGTCGTCTGTATCCTCCAACACTGTGGAGTCACCTCCAGGCCCCTCCTCCTTGCTTCTTGACCTGCCCCCCTCCCCTAGTTTTCATTCCCACCTCCTGATCCTATCCAGTTCCAACAGGAGGGGAGCCAAGCTGGCTGTTCTGTCTACCAAGACATCCTTCTGCAGCCTGCCACACTGGCACCTGCTTAAGGTCCTTGGTCCTGTGTCACCTCCTTTGAGGATATTTCCCTGACTGTCGCCCATTCCTGTCCTGATCCCCAACCAGCCTAATCTGGCCATACTGTCGGTATGGATTCCTCTCAGGGCCTCTTTCCCTCTAGATTGCACTGACTTCTTTTTACCTTTATTTATTTTTTTAAATGTTTATTTGTTTTTGAGAAAGAGAGAGAAACAGTGAGTGTTAGTGGGGAGGGGCAGAGAGGAGACAGAGGATCCAAAGTGGGCTGTGCACTGGCCACAGAGAACCTGAAAGGGGCTTGAACTTACAAATCCTGAGATGAAGACCTGAGCCAAAGTCGGACACTTAACAGACTGAGTCACCCAGGCACCCTACACTCATTTCTTTTTAGATCTGCTCTCACCCACTGGACCATGAGCTCCTAGAGGACAGGGATTGTAAATTACTTAGCTTTGTGTACTTCGTGCTTGGCTGATGTGAATTTTCAATAATATTCAATAAATGGGTCCTAAAACTGTAATAAGGGAAGGAAGGAAGGAAGGAAAGAAGGAAGGAAGGAAGGAAGGAAGGAAGAAGGAAGGAAGGGAGTGGAGGAAGGAAGGAAGGAAGGAAGGAAGGAAGGAAGGAAGGAAGGAAGGAAGGGAGGAAGGAAGGAAGAAGGAAGGAAGGGAGTGGAGGAAGGAAGGAAGGAAGAGATTCATTAACTAATTTGCTCTCCACCTTCCGCACATCCGCGTGCCAGGGCTCTGCCGCTTGTGAGCACCTGCCCCCATCTGCTGAGAGTGTGTCAACCACACGTAAGAGGAACCTCGGGGGACACCTGGCTGGCTCAGTCAGTACAGCATACAACTCTTGATCTCAGCCTCGTGAGTTTGAGCCCCATGTTGTGTGTCGAGCCTACTTAAAAAAAAAACTTATAAAAATTAAAAACAAAAGAACCCCAACAACAACGATCAAAGAGGAACCGTGACCCTGGGCCAGCCGTACATGACAATCATCCCACCCCACCCCTGACCACTGTGTCACACCCAGCTTCTGCTTCTTCTGTTTTTTTTTTTCTGTAAATTTTATGATTTAACAAATATGCCAAAAAAAAGACTAATAATCAGTGTACATTTGGGTGAATTTTCAAAGTGAACACATCCAAGACTTACAAGGAGCACCCAGATAAAGAAAGAAAATGCAGGGGTTGCCTGGGTGGCTCAGTCCGTTACGCGTCCGGCTCTTGATTTTGGCTCAGGTCATCATCTCACGGTTATGGGATTGAGTCCCACATCGGGACTCTGTGCTGACAGTGCAGAGCCTGCTTGGGATCCTCTCTCTCCCCCTGTCACTTCCCCTCCTCTGCTCTGTCTCTCAAATAAAAAAATAAACTTAAAAAAAAAAAGAAAATGTAAATAGCCCCCCTTCTAGTCACTGCTCTCCCCAAGGGTGACCATTATTCTGGTTCTTATCACCATTAGTTTTCCTGCTTTCTTTTAAAAAAAAATTTTCCTGCCTTTGGGGCACCTGGGTGGCTCAGTCAGTGAAGCACCCGACTTCGGCTCAGGCCATGATCTCACCGTTCGTGAGTTCAAGCCCCACGTCAGGCTCTGTGCTGACAGCCTGGAGCCTGCTTTGGATTCTGTGTCTCCCTCTCTCTCTGCCCCTCTCCTGCTCATGCTCTGTCTCTCTGTCTCTTTGTCTCTCTCTCTCTCAAAAATGAACATTAAGAATTTTTTTTAAAAAATGTCGGGGCGCCTGGGTGGCGCAGTCGGTTAAGCGTCCGACTTCAGCCAGGTCACGATCTCGCGGTCCGTGAGTTCGAGCCCCGCGTCGGGCTCTGGGCTGATGGCTCAGAGCCTGGAGCCTGTTTCCAATTCTGTGTCTCCCTCTCTCTCTGCCCCTCGCCCGTTCATGCTGTCTCTCTCTGTCCCAAAAATAAATAAACGTTGAAAAAAAAAAATTAAAAAAAAAAAACAAAAAAATGTCCTGCCTTTTAATTTATATAAATATGATAATATAATACATGCCCTTTGAACCTGACTTCTTTTCCTTAATGCTGCATTCCCGAGATTTATTCATGTTGTGGCTTATGCATCCTCACTGCTGTATAAAATTTCATGATATAACGTGCCACAGTTTATTTATTTGTTTATTCATTCATTTATTATGCTGTTGGTGGACTTTGGGGTTGTTTCCAGGTTTGGCTCTTTGAGGCTAGTGCTTTTGCGAGCATTCCTTGTCCACGTCGTGGAGAGCGTGTGCACACCTCTGTCTGGGAAAAGCTGAGTCGTAGGCGAGGCGTGTACTCTATTTTAGCAGCGACTTGCCACCTTCCAAAGTGGCTGTGGCAGTTTCCACCCCCACCAGCGGGGTATGAGAGTTCTAGTTGCTTCACATTCTCACCGATGCTTGGCATTATCTGTCTTCCCACATCTAGATAAATCTGGTGGGCGGATTCTTTTGTTTTGACCACGTTCCGTCTCACTGGCGGTCTGCTCCAGCTCCCTCAGTTTGGGGAGGATTCCGGAGAACCGGCTTCTCTGGTCCTTGACTCTCTCCCTGCAGTTTTGATCTATAGCTTGTGTCCACCCCTGCAGATCTGTAACGGGCCTCTCAGCTGGGTTGGAGGACTCCCTTCCATGAGGAGCACCCCACCCTCGGATGACAGCATCCCATTGAGTGTGGACCACCAGTAATGGGAAGGGGGAGGAAAGGCATGGGGAAGGTCTTCTTCAAAGGCCACACAGACCTTCTCACGACCACAGCTTCCTCAGCTGCCACCTGTGGACCTTTTCCAGGCGTTACCACTCTCAAAACATTGCGTAGGGATCAAAAATAATCAAACAGCGCCTTGCTGGCTCAGTCGGTAGAGCATGCGACTCTTGATCTCGGGGTCACAAGTTTAAGCCCCACATTTGCATAAAGCTTACTTAAAAAAATTAGAGGGGCACCTGGGTGGCTCAGTCGGTTAAGCATCTGACTTTGGCTCAGGTGATGACTTCACAGTTCGTGGGTTCATGCCCTGCGTTGGGCTCTGTGCTGACAGCTCAGGGCCTGGAGCCTGCTTCGGATTCTGTGTTTCTGTCTCTCTGTCCCTACCTCGCTTGTGCTCCCTCTCTATTTCTCTCAAAAACATAAATAAATAAATATACATTTATAAAATAGATATAAGAGCTAAAATTGTAAAACTCTTAGAAGAAATCGGGGGTAAAGATTCATGACCTTGGACTTGTCATTGGTCAGATGTGACTATGAAAGCACAATCAAACGAAACAGTAGATAACCTGGACATCATCACGATCAAAAACTTTTGTTTTTCAAAGGACACTATCATGAGAGAAAAAAAAATGACCCACAGATGGGAGAAAACATCTGCAAATCATTTATCAGTTAACAGGCTTGTACCTAGAATACGTAAAGAACTCTTGGAACTCAATAATAAAAAGACAAATAACTCAGTTAAAAATGGGAAGTAGGGGCGCCTGGGTGGCGCAGTCGGTTAAGCGTCCGACTTCAGCCAGGTCACGATCTCGCGGTCCGTGAGTTCGAGCCCCGCGTCAGGCTCTGGGCTGATGCTCGGAGCCTGGAGCCTGTTTCCGATTCTGTGTCTCCCTCTCTCTCTGCCCCTCCCCCGTTCATGCTCTGTCTCTCTCTGTCCCAAAAATAAATAAAAAAAAACCGTTGAAAAAAAAATTAAAAAAAAAAATGGGAAGTAGGATCTAAATAGACATGTCTCCAAGGAGCTATACAAACGGCCAAGAAGCACATGAAAAGATGTTGGAGACCATTAGCCATCAGGGGAATGCAAATCAAAACCACAATGAGGTATTCCTTCACACCCACCAGGATGGCTGTAATGGAAAAGACAGATAATAAGTGTTGGTAAGGATATGAAGAAATTGGAGCCCTCGTCTACTTCTAGTGGGAACGTTAAATGGTGCAGCCACTTTGGGAAACAAAGTGGGTGTTCTTCAAAAAGTGAAACACAAGGTTACCGTTTGATCCAGCAATTCCATTTCTAGGTATATACACTCAAGAGAAATGAAACCATAGGGCCATCCAGATACTGTACATGGCCATTCATAACAGCATTATTCATTATAGCCGAAAGGTAGAAACAACTCAAATGTCCATCAACTGCAAAATATGGTATATCCATACAGTGGAATATCATTTGTCCTTATGAAATACTGAATGAAATACTGAAACATGCCATCACATGGATGCACCTTGCAAACGTTATACTTAAGTGAACGAAACCAGTCACAAAAGAACACATGTGCTTCCATTTATATGAAACGTCCAGAATTGGCTAACTTCCAGAGACAGAAAATAGAACAGTGGTTACCTAGGGCTGTGGGAGATGGCAGGATTGACAGTGACAGCTAATGGGTAGTAAAAACCATTTGGGGGATGATAAAAATGTTCTAAAAGTGTGGCGACATCCGCATAACTCTGTGAATATACTAAAAACCGCTGAATTGCATACTTGAATGTGTTGAATTTTATGGCATGTGAATTATATCCCAATAAAGCTGTTATAACGAAAATAATTACAAAGTGAGTGAAAATAATTACAAGGTGGCTCAGTTTGGTTAAGCGTCCAACTTCAGCTCAGGTCATGCTCTCACAGCTCATGGGTTCAAGCCCCAAGTTGGGCTCTGTGCTGACGGCTCAGAGCCTGGAGCCTGCTTCCAATTCTGTGTCTCCCTCCCTCTCCCTGCCCCTCCCCCACTCGAGCTCTCTCTCTCTCTCTCTCTCTCTCTCTCTCAAAAATAAACATTAAAAAATTTTTTCTTAAGTGATTGAAATTTTCACTGTCATCGCTTAAGAAAATGCTAAAAGGGAATGTGTCGATTACATGGTACCCCCCGCCCCGGCCCCCTCAAAAAATATGTCCACCTCCTAAGCCCCAGAACCCATGAATGTGACCTGATTTGGAGAAAGGGTCTTTGCAGTTGTAATTTTAAGCATCTAAAGAGCAGATCATTTTGGATTATCCAGGTGGGCCCTAAATCCAATGACAAGTGTCCTTATAAGAGATACACAGAGGAGAGGGAGAAGAGAAGGCCATGTGGAGACAACATCCTGATTTCAGACTTCCTGGCCTCCGGAACTGTGAGCGAATGAATTTTGATCGTCTTAAGCCATTAAGTCTGTGGTGATTTGGTATAGCCCTAGGAAACCAGCACGGAGAATAAATGATAACCCAGCAACGCTTTTTTTTTTTTTTTTAATGTTTATTTGTTTATTTTGAGAGGGAGAGAGAGAGCAGGGGAGGGGCAGAGAGAGGGAGAGAGAGAATCCCAAGCAGGCTCCGCACTGTCAGCACAGAGCCCGACGTGGGGCTCAATCTCACGAACCGTGAGATTGTGACCTGAGCCGACACCAAGAGTCGGAAGCTTAACGGACTGAGCCACCCAGGCACCCCTGCAGCAACACTTTTAAAAGTCCACTTCCCCCAGTGTCTCTCCTTCTCTCTCGCTGTGTCTCTGTGCCTCTGTCCTCCTGTTCTTGCGTGGGGGACAGCTGCTGTCAGTCTCCTCCTCCCTCCTCCCAACTTCAGCGCTGCCCTCGGACATCCAGCTGGGGTCACAGCTGTTCTGCCTGCCCCGAAAGCCCGGGAACAACATGGCCTGAGCTGAGCTTTCCTTAAGTGGTGGGAGGAGGAGGAGGAGGATGTGACTGCCCATCTTGCCTTTCCCTGTCCAGACCTTTCCAGGGAATAGCCACATCGTCCTCCCAGCTGCCCTGTGATCTCTCCCTTTCCCTCTTTCCCAACGTCGTCCTCATCACTATTTGCTCTCTGAAACACCCCTGGATCCAGCCCACTTCTCTCCATCCCTTTGCCTCTCCTTTGGGCTCAGGCCCCCGGCATCTC